TTCACAGCATTTGACATTATATCAGATATTACATTCATAATGACAAGGGCAAATTGTGACGGCTAGGCGACCGGGTCATAGCATGTCCAAAACGGCAGGTCTAGTCCGGTCCGATATCACAGAAGAGCTACTGTAGCACAAATTGCTGAAAACATTAATGCAGAGAGCCCATGCTGACCCCTGTCCACCGCCGAAAACACCAACAATGAGCATCAGATCTGGACCATGGAGCCATGGAAGAAGGTGGCCTGGTCTGATGAATCATGTTTTCTTTCGCATTATGTGGAGAACAAAGTGAATGTGCATCGCGTACCTGGGGAAGCGATGGCACCAGGATGCATGTTGGGAAGAAAGCAAGCTGGTGGAGGAAACGTGAAGCTCTGGGCAATGTTCTGCTGGGAAACTTTGGGTCTGGGCTTTCATGTGGATGTTACTTTGACACGTACCACCTACCTAAACATAGTTGCAGACCAAGTATTCCCTAATGGTATTCTTTAATGTCAGTGGCCTCATTCAGCAGGATAATGCACCTTGCCACCCTGCAAAAATTGCTCAGGAACGGGTTTGAGGAACATGACAGATAGTTCAGGTGTTGACTTGACCTCCAAGTTCCCCAGATCTCAATCTGATCAAGCGTCTGTAGGACGTGCCAGACAAACAAGTCCGATCCATGGAGGCCCCACCTCACAACTTACAAGACTTAAAGGCTCTGGTGCTAACGTCTTGGTACCAGATACCACAGCACACCTTCAGAGGTCTTGAGGCGTCCATGCCTTCACGGATCAGAGCTGTTTTGGCGGCACAAGGGGGATCTACACAATATTATACATAATTATACGGTGTACAATATTGTACGTAATTTTTTTTTTATACAATACTCGTTTGAAAAGCAGCTATGGACATTCAGTACACATGCATTTCTTTATCTTTATGTCTTAAAAAGAAGCCCATTTATGAAGTTGAGTGAAACAAACCATGCAAGCTAGTGAAAAAGATGCTAGCTTTCAAACAGGCCAAACATCTTTAGGTAAGATTAAACCTTTTGAGTCAAAGCCAGCTCCTCTAGGTCTGATCAAGCGCTACAAATTAATCACGTTAATTTCCCTGTCATCCCGTCCATATACTCTACACAGATCCAGTGGGGCAATCATAAAGTGTAAATAGACTGACAAACGTGACGAATGAATATATGCAGCACATTACAATAAAACTTTATTTTATTTTATTGAATAATTCCTCAGAGTTACTGAGAGAGATGATGATAAAGAACTGAATAATAACATGAGGTTAATAGTTATAGCTTTATGATGAAAGGGGTTGTGAAAAGGGAACCCTATATTGTTGTGTTCAACAACCTTAAAGCGACAAATCACAACAACGACGTAGGGCAACAGATGTTTTTTGTTTGTTTGTTTGTTTGTTTTTTTCAATACCGAGATTCACAATTAGCAGCATGTGACTGTAGTGCAAAACTGACATACTTAGGTAAATATATGCGGCATTTGAGTTACCTCGGAGGTGGGAAGTCGGAACTCAGAGCTCGGAATTACTTCACTTACGTCTTCGAATGAACGCCTCCGTGTATGTCTTTTCTTAGCAACAAGTTCGCCAGGCAACTGTGACGAGCGATGTACATACCGATCAGCCATAACATTAAAACTCCTGACAGGTGACGTGGATAACATTGAATATCTCGTTATGATGGCATCTGTCAAGGGTCCGGATATATTAGCCAGCAATTCATCATTTTTCAAAGTTGTCATGTTGGAAGCTGGAAAAACGGGCAAGCGCAAGGATCTGAGCGTTTTTTGTCAAGTGCCAAATTGTGATGGCTAGGTCACTGGGTATGAGCATCTCCAACATGTCAGGTCTTGTGGGGTGTTCCAAGTATGCATTGGTTGGTACCTACCAAAAGCGGTCCAAGCATCAAGGTTAGTCTGGTCCGATCCCACAGAAGAGCGACTGTAGCACAAATTGATTTGACATCACTTACTGAAGTTGAGGAGACCATCCCAAGTTCCCAAATAGGAATCCACAGCTGAAGGGCGTTTTCTTTGATTCGATTCCTAGTTGGAGGTCAGAAATGATGAATTACGACCCTTAGGTGAATGCAGCAACAGCATGAAAAAGAAAGACAGTCCTAAGAACTAATGCGTAGACGATATTGTTGTGCTGGCTATCGATGTCACCCGCCCTGGTTATGTTTCTTATATCTAACCCAGAATGTTTTTTCTGTCAGCACATACTGCCCCGCCGATGTCAGATCTGACGTCCGAGCTAGGTAGGCTGCATACAGTTTAATTTACCAACTAGATACATTACCATTCATGAAATCCATACACACGCTGAAAAATCGTGTCGTGATGTACCGAGATGGACAGTCGGACAGGAAAGATGAAGTTTTTCGGTTGTAATATGTAGGGTGTGGCAGCGACATTCTCTTAAAGCTGACTTTCTCAATGAGTTGGGATCAAATTTAACATCAAGGGGGCTGATTAGATGGATTCACTGGAGGCTAACGCAAGGTTGCCTGGCCAACACTAACTCAAAATTTACGAACGAATGAGGGTGCAGTAATAATCTGTTCTAGATAGACCTGTTGAAACCATATAGCCTAATTATTTATACTACAGGGTGTCCAAAAAGTCTCCATACATAGGGGGAATGAACACTTTTTAGCAACATGTCTTTTCTAATCTTCCTAACCTCTCCTCAGCCATCTCTCTTTTCTTCAGCCATCTCTACCTTTCTTTCTTGTCCTCTCCTCAGGCCCTTCACCTTCGTCTCTTTTTCTTCTGCTCTACCTTGATTACGAAATATTAGCACTCTCGGAGTGCCGCTTGTCCAATCAAATCAGTGGACCGGAACTAACTGCTGTATAACGAACACTATGAACTGAATTGAGTGTATTTGTTTTTTGGAAGTACATGCTTTGAGCGACTACGCAGGTCTAAGATCATGTAATATCATGTCCTAGAGGCTGTGTGTGAAATAAAAAGGCCACTATGTTATCATGACGCTATGGAGGAGATCAGAGATGTGAAGAGGGGGAAAAAAAAAAGACAATGAGATGGCTGAGGAAAAGAGAAGGATCTGAGGAGAGGGTAGAATGGAGAAAACTAAATAGATGCTAAAGGCAGTTCTTAAAAAGTGCTGTCATACTGTATTTGAATCACTTGTTGGAATAGTACGAATGACTTTTCATATCGTCATATGGAGACTAGTAAATGTTTCCCCGCCCCCAAAACACTGCGGACCCAGACCCGGACTGGGACCCTACATCATAATGCTGAATAAGATCGATTGCTAATTTTTCAATTCTTTCTCATTTCTGCTCTCTGACATTGCTAGAGCTTCGTCAGCCTTTATAGGTTTGTAGTATCGTAGAATTATAAACTCTTGGGTCTACAACTACCACTGGGTCTCTCTGAGAACAAATACTGATTTTCCACACACTTCTTACACACATACACATACACACACTATGTGGGACAAAGAGGACACCTAGGATTGGGTCGGCTAGTGGTCTTTAATGAGGTCTGCCCTTGAAATTGAAGGGACATTGGGCATCTCTTCTTGTGCGTGTATGTGTGTATGTGTGTGTGTGCGTGTGTGTGCGTGTGTGCGCACACACGCGTGTGTTCATGGCTAAAATGAATGAGAAATCGAGTGTCTCACCTCTCTTCTGCTCCCTTATTGGAAATTGAATATGAGGGATTTGGTGAGTCAAATCCTCCTGACCCTCAAAGCTACTTTGATTGCTATTGGCCAGAGTGCAATCAATTCAGAAATTACCCAGCAGGCATCACGGTCCAGCATGACATTTTTAGTGATATCAATTTGTTCTCTCTCTCTCTCTCTCTCTCTCTCTCTCTCCTGCTCTTTCACTATCTAGGCTGCATTATTCATCTATTTGTATACTTTTAATAGGTGATTTGATTTTAGTTTTATTTTAATAAACTTGAGTTATGCTTGACTTTTTTTTTATGTTTAATATTCCTCTCTTAAAAGGTGAAGAATCAAGTGAACTGTTTTCCCCTTGGTTCCAAATAGACATGTTTGGTGTCCATTGTTTGCTTCTTTAGTCTTGTACCGGAGCTCTAGGAGGCTAATGTAACTGACCAGTAATGGTAGCTTGTCTCAATCCCACGTGCAATCTTAAACAAGATGATCTAATTGTTTCATGGAAAAACTTTGCAAAATAGTAGCGACATTCCATATTTACAAGTTCAATCGGGAAAAAAGTATTTCTCCAAGATGACTGCCCCATAACATTACAGTATTCAGCAACATCAGATGTACATTTTTTTTATACTTTTTTAACAGCGGTGCTTTAGTGTGAGGTTCGCCTCACACATCCACGGTCGGGGGTTCGATTCCCGCCACTGCCCTGTGTGTACGGAGTTTGCATGTTCTCCCCGTGCTGTGGGGGTTTCCTCCGGGTACTCCGGTTTCCTCCCCCAGTCCAAAGACATGCATCGTAGGCTGATAGGCGTGTCTAAAGTGTCCGTAGTGTATGAATGGGTGTGTGTTTGTGCCCTGCGATGGACTGGCACCCTGTCCCACCTTGTGCCCTGTGCTCCCTGGGATAGGCTCCAGGTTCCCCGTGACCCTGTAGGAAATAAGCGGTATAGAAAATGGATGGATGGATAGATGGATACTGAAATCCAATTACTCTGACATTTCTATGTGACTACGTAAGAACTGCATCGAGTTTGAGGCTGATCTTCAGTCTGTAATCCATCTATCCATTTTCTATACTGTTTATCCTACACAGGGTCTGGAGTGTATCCCAGGGAACTCGGGGCACAAGCCGGGGGACACCCTGGATGGGCTGCAAACCCATTGCAGGGCCCAATTGCATACACCTTCACACACTATGGACACTTTGGAAATGACAGTCAGCCTAAAACGCATGTCTTTAGACTGGGGGAAAAAACCGGAGTACCTGGAGGAAACCCCACAAGCACTGGGAGAACATGCAGACTTCACGTAAACAGTGGCGGAGGCGGGATTCAAACCCCCAACCCCGGAGTTGAGAAGCAAGTGTTATAACCACTAAGCCACCATGCAAAAAAAGAGCATTTTTGCCCTAAGTGAATATTTTTATTTATTAGTCTTCCTTTAAATGTGACATTAGGTCCAATGTTGGCTGCAGTTGTAATAAGCTGAACTTCAAAAACACTGGAATAATCGGTTCATTCCAAGTGGTTGCGAGTTGATAGCCAGCTTTCCATCATCTCATTCCATGTCATAGTTAGCTATAAAAACACCAAATACGAAGCAAGTAATTCACTGATTCGTAAGAGGAGTTCCATAGGTTTAGGAACAAGACGAGTTTGGGCGTTTACAGCTTGGTTTTGGCGCACAACGTCTGAAGCACTAGATTAGGTTTATTCAGTGCAGCAAGTTAAAAAGAAAATGTATCTAGATGACAAATGTGGCAGTGATTCTTTGATTATAATCCAACAGCTAACCTGTAAAGCAGTCATGCTCACAGGGCGAGAAAAAACGACCGTGTCAGAGGCTCAACATTTGGTGCTACACCCCTAGACAGTAAGAACAAGAAATAAATATTGATCAGTGCACCATGTGACCCATGAGAGTTTTCCATGATTGAGTGCCATTTGATTGCTGATCAATGATCTTCTGCCATGTTATGTCCTCGTATAGGAATAGTTGCCATTTTGGAAATTTCACCATGTTTCCAGTACCTGCCACACCCCTTCAAATCCACAGCGTACTGCTGTTTTAAATTATGGTTGGATGAATATGAATTTGGAAAAAAGAAAGTGTTTAATTAGTTGCTAGATGTCATGTTATGATTATCACACTACCGAAACAAGAGTTCACCTGGGAAATCAGCGTATCACAGGATGCTGTCAGTCATATACCCCAGCCTCATTAATCACACTCTCCAACAAGACTGCTGAGACTGTGTCGAAGGTCACATAGGGGTCATGACACATGGCTCTGAACAGCAACCTCTGATAGGGGCCATAACCTAAATCTACATCAAACTCCAGAGAAGCTTACCTCTACCTTTTGCTATGAGAGTGTGTGTGTGTGGGGGGGGGGAATGTTTTTAATGTCTTGGTAGGGACTACACATACCCACAAGAATAGGAAAATCTCACACTTTGGGGATATTTGCTTGGAATAAAAACGGTATCGTTTTTAAAAAGAAAAATCCGGAATGAGCCAAAAGTTCTTCTTTTGTGTAGCATAGTATTAATTAGCTCCGTTATCGAAAGGTCCTCACAAGGATAGTATGACAATGATGTGTGTGTGTGTGTGTGTGTGCGTGCATGCTTCTCTCTCTGAATCTTTTTCCTGTCTCCTCATCTCTCTGTTACTCTCTTCTCATCCTTTCTCTCTCTCTCTCTCTCTCTCTCTCTCTCTCTCTCTCTCTTACACGAACACACACACAAACAGATTCTTGACAAGATCCAGTGGGACACAGAAGCTGGTCATGCATATTGATGCCCATCTAATCTAAACCCTCTCCCTCTCATCCATCTCACATACCTGCTCGGCTTGGCCTCTCTGATCCTCCGCTCTCTGTTTTTTTTTTTTTCCCCCCTTCTTTTTCTTTTCTTACCATGAGCCTGTAATCTTGTCTCTGCAGAATTTATGCGGCAACTCCAAAAGAGGTAGAAATCACAGAGTTCACGGAGAAGTTACAGTGTCATTGCTAGAGAAAACATGCTACCCTTGTATTTATCTCGTTTATTTCTTACATGACCATGTGGTTTAATTACCTTATGGGATGAAGACAGCCTGTTTCTTTTATTTATTTCTGTTAACACCTTTTCAGAAGCCTGCGTTCATGTGTTGTGAATGTGAGAACAGTATAACAGTGTGTAACAGTATGTAATGTACTATAAGTGCATTTAGGTAACACTTTGCAATAACTGTACATGAATAATCATGCACTAATACCTGGATTAATACCTGGCTGTGGTGGAAGTGCGGGTGGTCCACTAATCGTAGGGTTGGCGGTTCGATTGCCAGCCCACGTGACTCCACGTGCCGGAGTGTCCTTGGGTAAGACACTGAACCCCAAGTTGCTCCCGATGGCAAGCTAGCGCGTTGCATGGCAGCTCTGCTACCACTGGTGCGTGTGTGAATGGGTGAATGAGAACCAGTATAAAGCGCTTTGTAGAAGCGCCAAGGTTTAAAAAAGCGCTATATGAGTGCAGACCATTTACCATTAATTATGGACTTGATGAAATGATGACTTAAGGCATGTACTCATCACAAACTAATGAGGAGCTACCCTTAACTACGACGTGAGTGTTGTGAATTCATGCGTGAATAACATGTTTCGAAGTTAATAGGGTAAACTAAATCAAAGTAAGAATGTGAAAGATGCATTAATAATTTCATCTCAACTTGTTTTGCGTCATTCTCCTTCCATTTCTCTTCAAATCCCACTTTAGTACTCGTCCACGCACCGGGTGGCTCGGGCCCGGGAAACTACTGCGGTGAAATTAGTCAGTCCAGTCCAGTCCAGTCCAGTCCAGGATTTCACGATTCAGCGATTGCAGAAATGAACACAAAATCAAGGAAACGCCGCAATATTTAGAGGAGCTTGCAAATTTTTTCGAAAGGACTTGTGACGTCATCACGACGCGCATTCAGACAAAGCCCTCGTCGAGTCACGTGTGTCGATCACGAGTACAGCTAAAAGGTCTCATTTACGAACAAACATCACCGCGAAAGGCCGTGCAAGACTATTTTGTGCGATTGCGATTTCGCCAATTCGAGTAGTTTTCTGCAAAAAAAAAAAAACCCCACAAAAACTCGCACATTTTGAAAAAACAAACATTTTTAGCCGGAACAATCACAAAAGCACTTTATTCATTTTTATTCATTTAGCAGACCCTATTATCTATTCATGTTTAAAACCAGTGTTCTATTTAGTTTACCCCAACATGTTAAATAAACATTGTTATTCACGCATGAATTCATAAGACATCGTAGTTAAGGTTAGCACTTCATTAGTTCGTGATTAGTACACACCCTAACTCATCATTAGTTCATAATTAAGTAAGTATTAATTCTCTAATGTGCATGATTATTCATGTACTGTTATTGCAAAGTGTTACCTGCATTTATTAAGGATCTGTAGAAACAAATAAAGGATCAAATAATATCTAAACATAGTGTCAGGGTTTCAGGGAAAAGTGGTGTATTCCTGGCTTTATAATCATCATCAACTCTAAAGAATCAGAGGCAAGGACAGTAACAAAAAGAAAAAAGAAAAAAAAAAGAAAACAGAAGCTCAATAATCTCAGCACATATTGCATATCTCGCTACTCTAATCTGGCCCCTAGGTGTGAATGAGCTCGAATCTCATCCGAGCTGTATTTCCTTTTCACCTCCAGTCTTCCTGGAATAGGCTTCCAGATCCAAACAACCCTGACTGGGATAAAGTGCTTACTGAAGTACTGAGTGAATGAATGAATCACTGAGGTGCGTCTTACAATACTCCTACTAGATCCTGAAAATACAGATGGAACCAATCCGATATCTGATATCATATCGGTTGGGGGGGGGGGATCAGATATCAGATCCTGTAACATTTGGAATTTCATTTGGAAAAGAACTGTAAGTGGCGCGTGGCGGCTTAGTGGTCAGCACCTTCACCTCACACCACCAGGGTTGAGAGTCGATTCTCACCGCTGCCCTTTGTGTGTGTTCTCCACGTTGCTCCGGGATTTCCTCCCCCAGTACAAAGACATGCATGGTAGGCTGGTTGACATGTCCAAAGCGTCCATAGTGTGTGAGTGTGTATGTGAGTGTGCCTTGTGATGGATTGGCACCCTGTCCAGGGTGTACCCCAGCTTGTGCCTGGAATGGACCCTTAAGGATAAGCAGTATAGAAGATGCACGGATGGATATTCACAACGTAAGTGATTACTGTGTGAAATATTACAATTTTCCCTGAAGTGCTTCAGTAAAAACAAGAAAACGTCGTAAAGCATAATAGTTGTTTAAAGCAATATCGGATTGTATCGGCTGACACTTTCACTGTTGTGGAAAAAGGGGTATTGTGCTGTCTCTACCAGAAAAATATTCTCCAATGCTCATCACAGAGGCAGTGCAGAAATAATTTGAAGAAAAAGAAACAAGTTGAAGACAAGGCTTGAATACAAAAGAGAAGAATATGAAATGTTAAGAGACTGGGTGGAGAGCTCTTTCATATGGAGTGCCTAAGCTCCAGACTGATGAATTTGAATCTTACACAGGGGGCTATTGTTGATCTACTGCATGTTTTATAAGGAGTTTATCGTGTGTGCCTGGTCTGGCAATATGTTTTCGTCTATACTTATGCTGCATTTGATTTACCTCAGAAGTGGGAAGACGGAGCTCAGAATGACGAAATTTTTGACCTCGCTCTACAATGTAGGGGGAAAAAAACAGGGATGCCTCCGTGTCTGTCTTTTGTTAACGACAAACTATCCAGCTAACCGTGCTGAGTGCATGCGAGAGCGAATATGTCTGTATGTTGATTGATGTGAAAGTTAATACGTATATATACAGTGCAGTATAACTCATTTAAAGGTAAGACGTGCTGCTGTGTTTACTGTTCATGCTGTGAGCAGCCATATTGATTTGGCGTCACTTGCTGAACTCTGGGGTTGAGGAGTAGGGTAGGAATTCTGAGCCGATGGGAGTTTACTTTGGTTTTATCCAGTCAGAATTCGGGAGTGACCAGTTACGACCTGTATTTGAATGCAGCACTAACCTGTCTGTCACCGTCACTTCTGACTTTTGTTGTAGAAATCTACAAATTGACAACATCGTTATTGAACACACGCTAATAACACATGCTGAGGAGTGAGGGAGTGAGTGAGTGAGTGAGTGAGTGAGGATTTTACTGAAACAGGACCCTTAGGTTGAGAATCTGGTCAGTAAATTCACTCCATCACACTCTTTGGTTAACTCTTTACAGATTGGTGGTGCCATATGGCAACAATTGATTTATCTCCACATATTTGATAGGCAATAATACAAAACTACTGTGTAACTGGAAAAAGGGAGACTTTAACTTTGACTTTTAAAAAA